GAGGGTTTGCGAAATCTTAAGAAAACCATATTTTCAACATGTTCATAACATGCTACCAAGCGGGCTTCGCGCGCGCAAATCGAAATCGTTCGAACCCCCTTGCGCGGGTGCTGGGGTGGCACGGTCCGTGTCAAATAATACCATGCGAGCCACTTTCGCGCGTTTGCCGCGCGCGCATTTCGAAGTCCTTTCACAATCTTCATCACTGGCGCGAAGACGCCGTCATCGTCGTCGGCGTGATCGGTATCAGCGCCGTCACTGGCCGTGCCGTCGTCGCTGTCAGCATCTTCACCAATATCGCTACTATCAGCATCATCGTGTCTACATGTGTCGACGTTGCCATGGTACCGCGCCCGCCCAAGTCGCCGACTCGCACTCAAGTGCCCGCCTGGATGTGCCGAGCTGTAAGCACCGCTGCGGCCGCGTCGGTCGCGCCAAACTACCTGGCCGCTGCGCGCGCGCATGCGCGGGTTGGCGCGGCCGCAGAGACGCGCCAGCCAGCGCCAAGCACTCATCGCAATCGCCGCCGCATGAGGTTCGCAAACCAAGTTGCGAGTGGGTGGGTGGGATGTTTGCGCGAGCAATGGAAACCTCACCGCAAACAGAAGTGAATTCTCCTTTCTAAACAGAGAATAGACTCTACCCACCCCCGGCGTTATCGGCCCCCCTTTCGGGTATGTGCATCATATATGATTCTGACCACATGTCCATCCTAAATATGAATTAACTATCCCAGGGGGGCCGGGATCGGCCCCCCTGAGGTTCCCTTGTAAAAAGCAATGCGCGGGGACATTTTGTGTTCTACCATACGATTTTTTCACGAATCCCTTGCAAAGAATGCGACGACGTGGACGCGCGCGCGTCGTCGCGCGCGCATGCCGAAATCCTTCAAAAACCTACAGTGCCGGAAGGATTTCGCAATCGAGTTTGCGAAAAACATACCAGAACACAGGGTTTCGCAACACTGATTTGCTATACAACCTTACGCACGAGCTCTTGCAAAATGTTTAAAACAGATTTTTTTGCTTAATATATACATATATATATATATATATATATATAGATTTCCACAAAATGCCACCAAACGGGCTTCGCGCGCGCATGTCGAAATCAGTCGAACGCCCTTGCGCGTGTGCCGTCGCGAGAATCCTTTGCAAAAAATGGGACGAAGTGCAGAATCGCGCGTCGTCGCGCGCGTATGCCGACATCCTTCAAAACCCATCGGTCTCGAACCGGTTTCAAAATCGTGTGTCAAAAAACATACAAAAACACAAGGTTTCGCAACACGGATTTTCAACAAAAGCGTGCGCGCGCGCTCTTGCGCCGTCGTCGTCGTCGTCGTCGTCGTCGTCGTCGCCGTCCTCCCCCCTCCCGCGTCTTCGTCGTCGTCGTCGTCGTCGTCGCCTACGTCGTCCTCTTTCTTTCCTCGTGTTCGTCGTCGTCGTCCTCTTTGGCGTCGTGGTCGTTTCCGTAGTCGTTGTCGCCGTGCTCGTCCTTCCTCCTCCCTCGTCGTCGTCGTCGTCGTCCGTCGTCGGCGTCTCGTCGTCGTCCGTCCTATTTCGTCGCCGTCGTCGTCGTCGTCGTTGTCGTCGTCGTCGTCTTCCCTCCTCCCTTGTCGTTGTCGTCGTCGGCGTCGCCGTCCTTCCTTCTTCGTCGTTCGCGTCGTCGCCGTCCTCCCTTCTCCCTCGTCGTTGTCGTCGTTGTCGTCGTTGCCGCCGTCGTCGTCCTCCCACCTCCCTCATCGTCGTCGTCGTCGTCGTCGTCGTCGTCGTCGTCGTCGTCGTCGACGTCGTCGTCGGTGTCGTCGTCGTCGTCGGTGTCGTCGTCGTCGTCGTCGTTGTCGTCGTCGTCGTCGTCGTCGTCGTCGTCGTCGTCGTCGTCGAAGTCATTGGAGACGTCGTCGGTGTCGTCGTAGTCGGTGTCGGCGGCGCCGTCGTCGTCGTTGTCGCTGTCGTCGTCGGCGTCGGTGTCGTGGCCAAGTGCTATGTGGTACCTACCGTCACGGCCTTAAGAGGTCTCGCGACCAAGTTGCGGGTGGGAGGGTGGGATGTCTGCACGAGCAGTGGAGAGGACAGCTTCAAGACGATCAAAGTTAATCACAAATCATAAGTTTTCAGAATCCCTTGCAAACAATTAGACGAAGTGCACATGCGCGCGTCGTCGCCCGCGCATGCCGAAATCTTTCAAAAAACTTAGACTTCGGAAGGATTCCAAAATCGAGTTTCCAAAAATCATTAAAAGACACAGGGTTTCGCAACACTGATTCGCTTAAAAAAACAGAAAAGTACGCGCGCGCTCTTGCGAAATCTTAAGAAAACCATAGGTTTTTCAACCTGTCCAAGGGATACTACCAAACGGGCTTCGCGCGCGCATGTCGAAATCATTTGAACGCCCTTGCGCGCATGCCGTCGCGAGAATTCTGGGCAACAAATGGGACGAAGTGCGCACGCGCGCGTCGTCGCCCCCGCATGCCGAAATCCTTCAAAAACCCTCGATGTCGGAAGGATTTCAAAATCGAGTGTCCAAAAAACATACAACAACACAGGGTTTCGCAACACGGATGTTCAACAAAAGAGCGTGCGCGCGCGCGCTCTTGCGTCGTCGTCGTCGTCGTCGCCGTCCTCCCTCCTCCTCCGTCGTCGCCGTCGTCGCCGCCGTCGTCCTCTGTCTTTCCTCGTCGTCGTCTTGGCGTCGTCGTCGTCTCCGTCGTCGTTGTCGCCGTGGTCGTCCTTCCTCCCTCGCCGTCTTGGTCGGCGTTTCGTCGTTGTCCCTCCTATTTCGTCGCCTCGTCGTCGTCTTCCCTCCTCCCTCGTCGTTGTCGTCGTCGGCGTCGCCGTCCTCCCTCCTTCGTCGTTCGCCTCGTCGCCGTCCTCCCTCCTCCCTCGTCGTTGTCGTCGTTGCCGCCGTCGTCGTCCTCCCTCCTCCCTCCTCGTCGTCGTCGTCGTCTTCGTTGGCGTCGTCGTCGTCGTCGTCGTCGTCGTCTTCGTCGTCGTCGTCGTCGTCGGCGTCGTCGACGTCGTCGGCGTCGTCGTCGTCGACGTTGTCATCGTCGTCGTCGGCGTCGGCGTCGTCGTCGTCGGTGTCGTCGTCATCGTCGTCGAAGCCGTTGGAGACGTCGTCGGTGTCGTCGTAGTCGTTATCGGCGGCGTCGTCTTCGTCGTTGTCGCTGTCGTCGTTGGCGTCGGTGTCGCTGCCAAGTGCAATTTGGTACCCACTGTCACGGCCTTAAGAGGTCTCGCGACCAAGTTGCGGGTGGGAGGGTGGGATGTTTGCACGAGCTGTGGAGAGGACAACTTCAAGTTCGGCAAGTGACTGATTGCTCCACATCGATCGCACCACATCTGTTGCATCACATAGGCCGTGCAACAATCGTATCAGCCAGCGTTGAGTCCAAATCAGGGGGAGGACGAGAGGAGGATGGGAGGAGGACGAAAGGAGTTCGGGAGCAGGACGGGAGGAGGACGGTAGGAGCAACACCAAGCAAGCGCAAACAAGAAAGCGGAAGCAAGCAAGCGTAAGAGAGCAATAACAAGCAATCAAGGACCAGCGATCAAGTGCAAGCACACAAGGGCAAGCAGGAACAAACAAGGGAGAACAAGCACGCACTAGCCAGCAAACAATCGCCATTGGAAACAGGGGGCGTGCCATTGGAAAAAGGTGGGGTGCCATTGGAAAAGGGGGGTTGGGGTCCTAAAGACCAATTACTTATGATGTGCTCGGGCTCATAGGGCAAACCTATGTGGAAAATTGCACCACGTAGATATGTTGCACCACGTAGGTTGCTCCACATATGTTTTCTTTTCCTAAAAGGAAGTTGAGATCTACCCCCTGGCCTTATCGGTTCCCCTTCATGTAAAACAGTGCACATGTTATCAGCCCCATCGTTTGTTGTAACTTTGAAACCAGACTGTCCCAGCCCAGTCGGTATCGCCCCCCATTCATCGTCGAGAAATCACACTATACGCGCACACTCGTTTTTCCGAAATCATCAGTTCTCGAACATCTCTTGCCAAACATGTGACACAGTTGACACGCACGTGGCGTCGCGCGCGCATGCCGAAATTTTTCAAGCACGTTAGGTTTCGTGGGAATCTCAGGATCGAGGTTCCCGAACACATATGAAACAGGAACGGTTTGCAATATGTTTTTTATTAAAGAGTCAGCGCGCGCGCTCTTGCGATTTCTTGAGAGAATCATCGACTTCAGCATCTTCCTTGAATGCGACTGAGCAAGCCTCTCGCGCGCGCATGACGAAATCATTCGAACGCCCTTGCGCGTTTGCTGGGGGGGGGATTTCCTGTCGAGAAAAAGTTATGCGGGCATCTCGCGTCCGTCGGCCGCGCACACAACTCGAAATTCTTCCAAAAACTACATCACCTACATGTGGACACCATCAGCGTCATCGGCGTGATCAGCATCGGCGCCGTCATTGGCCTCGCCGTCATCATCGTCACCAGCATCGCTACTATCTCATCGTTTGCCATTGTTGACGTCGCCATGATACCGCGTCCGCCAGAGCCACCGATTCGCACTTGGGTGCCCGCGCGTCAGCGCGGCCTGCGAGACGCGCTGGGAAGTGCCCGGTGGTCAACGTCACTGCGGCCGCAATCGCCGCCGCATGGGTTTTGCAAAACTAGGTGCGCTTGGGTGCGTGGGATGATTGCGCGAGCAGCGGAAGTGACAACCCACTGCGACAAATAAAAATGATTGCTCCATGTCGGCAACACCATGTAGATTGCACCACATCTCTTGCACAACATTTTTTGCACCACCTAAATTGCACACCATCGATTGCTAGGACCACGCTGTTTTGGGTCCGCGCTGGGTCACATAATATCGAGCTTAATCCTGGGCCTTGTCGGGGCGAGTCTGGTCATAACGGCCCTTTAGTCGCTCTTGCGATGGCCTCCCAGGAATTGTCTCCTCACCTCCTCCTCTCTCATTCTTCTCTCAGTCCCTCTGCCTCCTCTGCCTCTCTCTCGCCGTTTGCCGCGCCGCAGTTCCCATCGACCTCGTCGCCCGCGACCGCGACACCAGAAGACCCCAGGGGGGGTTTGGCGTCAGGGGCGACGGCTGTGGTGGCTTGGCAAGTGGGCAGGGCTGGCGGGGCACTGTCAAGAGGGAGGGGGGACCAGAGGGGACGGGAAGAGAGGAGTAGGAGGAGTGGGGGAGGAGGAGGACGATGAGGAAAGAGGAGGAGGAGGAGGAGAAGGAGGAGGAGGTGGAGGAGGAGGACGAGGAGGAGAAGGAGGAGGAACAGGATGATGATGATGATGATGATGATGATGATGATGATGATGATGATGATGATGATGATGATGATGATGATGATGATGATGATGATGATGATGATGATGATGATGATGATGATGATGATGATGATGATGATGATGATGATGATGATGATGATGATGATGATGATGATGATGATGATGATGAGGAGGAGGAGGAGGATGAGGAGGGAGGAGGAGGAGGAGGAGGAGGAGGAGGAGGCGGAGGAGGAGGAGGAGGAGGAGGAGGAGGAGGACGAGGAGGAGGAGGAGGAGGAGGACGGCACGAGGTTCGAGACCTGGCCAAATCTCCATCTTGCAATCTCTTCGATCCGATGAGTTGGGAGCAGAGGCGGCAGCGGCGGTGCGAGAAGATGTGTGTGTGTGTGGGGGGGACGTGAGGAGCCTGAGATGGTCTGGAGGTAAGGGGAAGGAGCCTTCTTCGAAGGTTTGAGGATCCAGGCTCGGACAGATGACAATCAACGGTGGCTCTTTCCGCTTCCATCGGCGGTCGAAGATAGGTACGATCGAACGCGGGGAGCATAACGGCACAAACATGAATTTTCGGAGGTTCGCGCGGACCTCTTGGATCTGCTCTGGAGCCCTAGGTGGCGGCTCTGGCGCCGCACCCGGCGCGCTCCGCGCACCAGGGAGGTGGGTCCAGCGCTGATTTCAGAGACCCGCCCAGACCCCAGACAGTTCATGCTTCTGCTGCCCTTTCTCTTCTGCTGCTTCTTCTCTGCCGACTCCCGCCGCGCCCCCCCCCCCGGCCCTGCCCCGCCGCCCGTGCTCCCTCCCTCACCGAGCGCGCTCCACTGCTCGCAGAGTGCCTGCTCGCAGGTGTCCGAAAAAGCATACCTTTCTCGAGGGAATGGATCGTGAATCCCCCACGGCAGATCCAGGCCGTTTGCGAGTAGTTCCTTTGCGAGTGGTGGAACGCGATTGTCTACTCTCCCCCTTGGGCCGAGCCGCCCCCTCCCCCCCCCGTGTCTCGCTGCGGCCCTCCTGCGCCGGACCGATCCGCGAGGGCCCCGGCGGGCCCCGCACCAGCAACGATCTGTGCAAGCCTACAGTGGAGACCCATGCCGAGAAACTCCCTGCTTGTCTCCAGGGTGCCCTTGGTTTCTTGGGTTTCGCTTGTTTCTGTGGAAGGCGCGACGTTCCCACAAGTCGCTCAAAAAATACCCTGACGAAGGACCCAACCATATGCAGCTGCGAGTACCGATTTGTGGGTACCGCTTTCGGTGGAGCTCACTGTGGGGCCACGAACCGTGGGAGGGGTGTGCCAAAGCGGGTGGCGGTCCCCGCATGCAGCCCGTGCCACTGGGGCCGTCGGTGGAGCTCCCTGTGGGGCCACGAACCGTGTGGCGGGTGTGCCAAAATGGGTGGCGGTCCCCGCATGCGGCCTGTGCCACTGGGGCCTTCGGTGGAGCTCCCTGTGGGGCCACGAACCGTGTGAGGGGTGTGCCAAAATGGGTGGCGGTCCCCGCATGCGGACCCTGCTGCTGGGGCCTTCGGTGGAGCTCCCTGTGGGGCCACGAACCGTGTGAGGGGTGTGCCAAAATGGGCGGCGGTCCCCGCATGCGGCCCGTGCCACTGGGGCTTTCGGTGGAGCTCCCTGTGGGGCCACGAATCGTGTGGGTGGTGTGCCCGAATGGGTGGCGGACCCCGCATGCGGCCTGCGCCACTGGGGCTTTCTATGGAGCTCCCTGTGGCGCCACGAACCGTGTGAGGGCTGTGCCAAAATGGGTGGCGGTCCCCGCATGCGGCCTGTGCCACTGGGGCCTTCGGTGGAGCTCCCTGTGGGGCCACGAACCGTGTGAGGGGTGTGCCAAAGTGGGTGGCGGTCCCCGCATGCGGCCTGTGCCACTGGGGCCTACGGTGGAGCTCCCTGTGGCGCCACGAACCGTGTGAGGGCTGTGCCAAAATGGGTGGCGGTCCCCGCATGCGGCCTGTGTCACTGGGGCTTTCGATGGAGCTCCCTGTGGGGCCGCGAACCGTGGGAGGGGTGTGCCATAATAGGTGGCGACTCCCGCATGTGGACCCTGCCGAGGGGGCAGCGGGAGGAGTCACGCGGGGTGCTGTCTCTTCAAAAGCGGACCCAGCACCACAGGATGGTTGGGGAAGAGGAGGAGGAGGAGGAGGAGGAGGAGAGGAGGGAGGAGGAGGAGGAGGAGGAGGAGGAGGAGGAGGAGGAGGAGGGAGGAGGAGGAGGAGGAGGAGGAGGAGGAGGAGGAGGAGGAGGAGGAGGGAGGAGGAGGAGGAGGAGGAGGGAGGAGGAGAGGAGGAAGGGGATGAGGAGTGAGGAGGAGAAGGAGGAGGAGGAGGAGGAGGGAGGAGGAGGAGGAGGAGGAGGAGGAGGAGGAGGTGACGCGGGGCGCTGTCTCTTCAAAACGAGGACCCAACACCACAGGATGTTTGGGAAAAACCCACGACACCGCCCCACCAACGGTCCTCCATGTTGCGCCACGGCCCATCGGGCGCCGTGTAGCTTAGACCGCGCAGAAGCCCAAGCCAGGAAATCATTGTGTATATACCAAGGCCCGTGGGGCCCTACGTGGGGCGGTGTCGTTTGTTTTCTGGCCCACGAGGCGAGGCGGAAGGGCGCGCCTCTCCACCTCGCGGCCCTCCTTCCCAGGGCTCATTTCGTTTCCTACGATTCGAGTCGATTCGATTTCGGTGGCTTCCGATTCCGATTCGGGCCGACTTGGGATTCCGATTTGGGTTCCGATTTCTTACTGGAGGCATACTAGCCTGCCGATTTCCGCCGACCCGACTTTTCGCGACTCGGCTGCCGATTTCCGCCGATCCGACTCATTTTGATTCTGGGCTCTCCTGCCCTCCTGAGGCACCACCCCTTGGCGGGCCCTGGCCCCCTCGCCGCCAACCCCGCGCCGCGCGGGGGCCCGCCCGGTCCAGCCGTGCCCGGACCCTCGCGGGGGCCTGCCCGCCGACCCCGCCCGCCTGTGGCCGCGGCGGCGCTCTGCTGCCTCCACGGCGGCGCCGGCAACATCTCGATCTGCCCCGACCCCGGGGGTGCCGCCCCTTTTGGCTGGGCGGTGGGGGTGTCTGCCGGCTCCCGACTGATGTGCGTCGGGCGCGCGGAGAGGACCCGCGTCCGCCCCGACCCCCGATGGGGGCCTGCACGCCGACCCCACCCGCCCGCGGCTCTGGCGGCGCTCTGCTGCTTCCGCGGCGGCGCCCGCAGCATTCGGGTCGTGGATCTTGCTCCGACGTGCCTGCGCGGCCTGCCCCAGGCCAGGCATTTGTCGCGGCGGCGCACCGTGCCGCCAGAGTAACAGGTCGGGCACGTCCTCCTACAGGCGGATGCTGGAAGAAGAATCGATCAGAGTCAAAAGTACGCAGAAGTAGTCGAGAATGGTAAATCGAGGGCATAAAAATGCCCCTGCCCTGGTTTACGAGGCGCTGTGCGCTGAAACTCCTGTGGGCTGACAGGGTAAACCCTGCGTGATGTGCCGCGTCCTGGCGGCTCTAGGCTTCGGGGGCTCCCAGCCCAGGAGGTTTACAGACCGCGCACTTGTAACCCAGGGCAGGGGCGTTTTTTTTCACCCCTCAAGTAAAACATCGTATGGGGGGCATGCCCGAGGTAATGCCCGAGTGTCCCGCGTCTTGGGCCGCTTGGCCGTTCGCGCCGGGTCTCGCCCGCCGCCTCCAGGAGCCTCCTGCGCCTCGGTGGCAGCCGGCCGCGCGCAGAGGGCGGGGGGGTCAATTATGGGGGGGAGGGGGGGGGGCTTCTCACCCAGACCTCCTCGCGCCGCGGACAAACAAAAACACGACGGGAGGTTTTTCGGTATTTTCGGCATCCGGCGGCCCTTCCCGGGCCTCGGGGCCGTCGAAACACGACTCAGGACAAACAGGTGGTCCCGGGGAGGGGGTCCAGACCTGTGTGGATCGACGTGGAAAAAATTACGACGTCGGGGGTCTGGGTAGAAAGGGTATATGTTTTTCACGGGGGTTGGCTTTCGCCCAGGTTCGCTTTCGCCCAGGTTGGCTTTTGCCCGGGTTCGCTTTCGCCCCGGCTTGCTTTCGCCCGGGTAGGCTTTCGCCCGGGTAGGCTTTCGCCCGGGTTGGTTTTCGCCCGGTTTGCTTTCGCCCGGGTTTGCTTTCGCCCGGGTTGGCTTTCGCCCGAGTTGGTTTTCGCCCGGGTTGGCTTTCGCTTGGGTTTTCGCCCCGTTGGGGTTTTGCCCCGGTTGGTTTTTCGCTGGGGATGGTTTTCGTTTGGGTTGGCTTTCGCCCAGGTTGGCTTCCGCCCAGGTTGGCTTTCGCCCCGGTGGGGTTTTGCTCGGGTTAGTCTTTCGCCCAGGATGGCTTTTGCCTGGGTTTGTTTTCGCCCTCCTCTTTCTCCTCTCCTCCTTCCGCTCCTGTCCTTTTATGCTGCTGCTGCTCCTTTTCTTCCTCTCCTCTGGATCCTCTTGCCCGCGGCCGTTTGGCTGGAGCTCCGTTACGTTCCCGCAGCAGCACTGGAAGTACAACCCCTCGCCTTCTCGGACGGCCTGGCCTACACATGTACACCGCCTTTGCTCAGGCCTCCCTGAGGCCCAGGGTCAGTCAGTGCTACGTGCCCCCCCTGGCGAAACCAGACGCGTACTCACTCGAGCGTGCCCCACACTTTCGTGTCCCGCCCGCCCGACCCGACCCACCCGTCAACTTCTGCCCGACCCGACCCGCCCCGCCTTGCCCGTTAGGGTTTGCCCGACTTGACATGACCCGTCCCGCCCGTTAGGGTCCGCCCGCCCGTTAAGGCGCACGCGTGCGCGGTCCGGCGCGCCCCACATTTTAGTGTCCCGCCCGCCCGACCCGACCCGCCTGTAGGGTTTGCCCGACCCGACCCGATCCGCCCCGCCCGTTACGCCCGCTCGACCCTTCCTGCCCGTTAGGGTTCACGCGTGTTCACTTGAGCGTGCCTTACACTTTAGTACCCCGCCCGCCCGACCCGACCCGCTGGTGGAGCCCGCGCCCAACCCTGGCGAAAACCAACCCCAGCGAAACGAAACCCGGCGAAAGCCAACCCCGGCGAAAGCCAGCCCTGGCGAAAGCCAGCCCGGGCGAAAGCCAACCCCGGCGAAACGAAACCCGGTGAAAGCCAACCCAGGCGACAGCCAACCCAGGCTCAAGCCAACCTGGGCGAAAGCCAACCCTGGCGAAAGTCAGCCCCGACGAAACGAAACCTGGCGAAAGCCAACCCCAGCGAAAGCAAACCCAGCGAAACGAAACCTGGCGAAACGAAGTCCGGCGAAAGCCAACACCGGCTGAAAGCATCCGTGCCGGCTTATCAGAATGCGCTGGCCCCGTGCCTGCAGGTGTGAGGCTGGCGCCCTCTGAGAAGCAGCCTCCTTCTGAGAAGCGTGTCCCTCTCCCCCTACCCCGTTGTGCGCGCCGCCAACGCAGGCAGGGCCCGCGTCGTCGTCGTTGTCATCGTCGTCGTCGGCGTCGTCGTCGTCGTCGTCGGCATCGTCGTCGTCGTCGTCGTCGGCGTCGTCGTCGTCGTCGTCGTCGTCGTCGTCGGCGTCGTCGACTTCTGCATCGGAGGGCTGAGACGCAGCGCCGCTGTGAGCGCCTCGCTGCTGCGGGCCAGCTGCCTCCGCGGCAGCCTCTGCCTGGCGCGCCCGCCCGCGAGGACTGCCGACGACCCCCCGCGCGGGCACGGCGGGCCTCGCGGAGCGCGTCGCCCGCACGGTCACGGCGGAGGCGCCGGCGGCGGCCGACGCCCCCCGCCTTGGGAGGAGGAGGGGGAGGGGGGGGGGAGGGGGAGGGGGAGGAGGGGTAGGGGGAGGAGGATCGGGAGGAGGAGGAGGAGGAGGAGGAGGAGGAGGAGGAGGAGGAGGAGGAGGAGGAGGAGGAGGAGGAAAAGGAGGAGTTTTCTCCGCGCGCCGCGACCGACTGCAAAACTGATTTAGCCCAGATTTGATTCTCTCGTCGACTCCTACAGCAAATACTCTTAATGCTCGCGTATCTACGAACATTTTTATATACGCCTTTTCGTAGTCTCAACGGACAAGTCAATCTTGTTGGGCCGCATCAGTTCTGGAGTCGATCCCCTGCCCGAATGGGGCGCTTCTCTCTTCCTGGCGGGCGCGGCCGAAACCTGGCGGAGGGCGGCCTACGACCCGCCTCGATGCGGCTCGAGTCGTCGGCTCTGGTCGCGGCGCCGATGCGATCCGAGTCGGTTCGGCTCCACGGGAGGCCAGGGCCGGCGGGCGGGAGGTGGGCGCGCGGCGACCCGACGTCGATCCGATTCAGGACGGCCCGCTGGCGATTGGGATCCTCAGCCTGGCGCGGTCGCCGTCGAGTCCCGCCGTTGCTGCTGCTGCTGCTGCTGCTGCTGCTGCTGCTGCTGCTGCTGCTGCTGCTGCTTGTCTTCTCTTCGGCGCCTCTCTTTCAGGAGAGGAAAAAACACACAGACACAATTAATCGTCGATTCCCAGGAAAATATGGGAAAATATGGGACGTGGGGGGGAAGACAAAAACCCAGAAAATATGGGAGAATATGGGGAATTGCTTTATTTGTGTGTATTTATTTGTGTGTCCTGGGGCGCCTTCAGTCTTGCCACGCTTCTGGGCGCCTTCGGTTGCGGCTGCTCTCGGCCGCTCAGGGCTCAGCCGGTCCAGGTCTGACCAGCGCGAGCCCGTGGCGCGGCGTTCCCTGGTGGGCCTTCCCGCGGCGCTGTCCTCGGCCGCGGGGGCCAGGCGTAACTGACCAGCGCTGCCGCCCTGCCAGAGTGGCCAGGCGAAGGCTCGGTGGTGATCTGGTCGGTGGCTAAGCGCCACGTGTGCTGTGAGTTCGGCCACTGAACGCTCGCCCCAGCTGTGCGGCTGAATCACCTCAGGCATACTCAAAGAACAAGCAACAGCTTATGTTTATGTCGCTTTTTCTTCTTCTACGTATGCGAATTCAGAGTGGCTGTTCGTGTCCGCGGTGAGAGTCAAATGACTCGGAGCTTGGCCAGTGAAGCTACTTCGGTCAATTTGGGCTTGTCAAGCCAGTACTCCTCGGCGGCGATGTCGTCGATCTCCGAGCAGTCCCGCGCTGTGCATTTGCCCAGCGAGAGTCTATAGATCCAGTCCGAGCACAGCTGCGACGTTATCCCTCGACTTCTGAGTGACCCTCCGTCCTGAGTGTGATCAGCAAGACTGCAAGCAACGCACCTCTTCTCAGCACGTGCTACTCTGCGTTTAACTCTGCCCTAAAATCCATGAGTGTGCTGCCGCCCAGAGCGCCGCCGCGATTGGTCATCGGTTCCCTCGCAGAAGTTGCTTGCATCTTGCGCACGTCGACCGCGCATGAGTTCTGCTGCGGGGTTGCCTGCGACGTTGTCACCAATCAAGGGAACCTCGTGCGCCATGGGCACAAGCCGCCAGCACTGAGTGTTCCATTATCCCCAGTTCGACTCGTCAATTTTCCAGAAGACTGAGATCATCTAGCGGAAGCTCGGGCTCGCTTTTTTGTTTTTTCTTCCTGATTGCCTCTGGTCGCAGTGGCGTGATTTTGAGGTGGCCCGTGCAGGTGCTATATCGTCCAGGTGCTTGCTTTCTGTTGCGGCTCCCATCCATGGTTGACGCAGCGTTAACTGCGGTGGGTTAGCTCTTCAACGCGGCGCTTGCTTTGCACGTTGGCCACGCGTGTGCCGTCCACCACCCATGGATTTGTTGTTCTGTCCACCGTCCATGTGCGCCGCCGCGTGTTGGCTGTCGCGGTCGCCCGCGGTCAGCTCGGCTTTTTTGGTTGGCCTCTCGGCCCATGCGCGTGCTGTCTTCGCGCTACTTGCACTTGCGCGGCGTTCTGCCGTGTGCGTTGCTCGCCTCGCGGCGGCGTTTGTCTCGTCTGTGCCTGTCTCGCGCCGCCGCTTGCTGGCTGGTCTGGCAGCCTTGCAGTGCGCCTTTTTCTGTTGGCTGCTAGCGCCAGAATGCTGCAGCGCTTCCACTCCTGGCGCCGAGCGACGCTCAGCGGGATCTTCGCCGCTTTTTTTTTTTGGTTAGCACCAGACTGCTGCCCACGCTCCAAGTCCTGGCGTCGAGCTACGCTCAGCGGGATGCTTGGCCGCTGCACTTTGCTTTTGCAACGCCTCATGTCTCACCGCCTGCACCTGTCAGCACGGTCGTGGCTGGACTCTTTCATCACGGCGCGTTCGACTCAGTTCGTCCGCGATTGACATTTCCATCTGCCGACCGCGCCTGAGGCTCCCTTGCGCCGCCGATTTGACAGTGCTCTCTTTCCCCAGTCGTCCTCGACCCTCTCTTCCCCTGTCGTCGTCGTCACGCTCTCGCTGGGCCGCCCTCCCCTCCCAGGGTTCATCCCGAAGCACGGCTTTGCTAGGATGGCCGCCCTGGCCCGCCTCCGGCCGCCCTGTGGCCCCTCCTCCTCCCCTCCGCCTTTGTGTGGTGCCTCCTACGTCCCTGTCGCCTCCCTCCTCGGCTGGCTCCTTCCCCTCCCCGTGGCTTGCCTTGCCCTTGTGGTGTGTGGTGTCTCCTCCCTTCCCCTCGGCTCCCCCTGCTCCGTCGGTCGGCCCGTGTCCTTAGCGTCCGTCCGTTTCCCCCTTCGGATGTCCGCTGTCGCTCCTCGCTCCTCGCTTCTCCCTCGCATTGCTTGGCCCCTTCTTTCCCTAGTGTTGCTGGCCCCATGTCGTCCTAACTCGGGCTGGCTTGGCCTCTGCGCTGCCTGCCGGCTGCCCCTGGCCACCGCCCCGTTGATTAGGGGCTGGCCGTCTCGCTTTCATATTTTCTGAGGTAGTGCGTGCCGCGCGAGGGTCGCCCGACGCGTTGGAGACTCGCCGCGCCGCAACGAAGGAAAGGCGTGTGTGTTTGTGTGTGTGTGTGTGTGTGTGTATGTGTTTGTGTGTGTGTGTGTGTGCGTGTGCGTGTGTGCGTGTGTGCGTGTGTGTCTCTGTGTGTGTATAACGTTGCCCCGTTCCGCTCCACTCGCCAGCGCAGTCACTCTGCCTAGCCGCCGATGAAAAAGTGTGTGTGTGTGTGTGCGTGTGTGTGTGTGTGTGTGTGTGTGTGTGTGTGTGTGTGTGTGTGTGTGTGTATGTGTGTGTGTGTGTGTTGCCCTTGCCGCTGCACATGACTTTCTTTGCCTCGTCGCTTCGCGCGAGGTCCAGACCACCCAAATTATGTATGTGTATGTGTGTGTGTGTGTGTGTGTGAAGCCTCTCTTTGCTTCTTCATTTGATGTCTAGCTGGTATTTCGTCGCTCTTCTTACTACGCCGTCTCCGCTACCACGTCGCCGCAAGCGTCTGAGGTGTACGTGGTGCAAAAGTCGCCCCGATACCCCGCATGCCCGCAGTTTTTTGAGATATCTTCTATCCTCTCCTCATCGCCACTCCCCATTCCCACTCCCTCTCCGTCTCCCTTTTTCCCTTACACCCCCTGCTTCCCCTGTCCTTGTCAGGATATCTCTCCCTGATCCTCCCGGTTCCTTCCCCTCGCACCCTCTTTCTCAGAGTCACATCCTCTTTCTCTCTTTCTTTCTCGCGCTACTTCCTCCTGCTCCTTCATCTGATGTTAGCCAGCGTGGGCCCCAAACAGTGTGTTCTAGCATACTATGTGGCGCAACCTATGTGGTGCACGATATGTTGTGGCAGCGAAGTGCGATCAACGTGGTGTGATCTATGTGGTGCAATCCGTGTGAGGCAAATACGGTAGAGAAACAATTTCTGAACGCCCCCCTCCCCCCCAAACTCAATGTTGGCGCGCGCGGGGGAGACTGCGGTCGAAGTGCATCTCATCAGACCCACCGCCAACTTTGAACATTGGGGGGGGAGGCGTTGACAGATGAATGTGACATGAGTGGTCGCTAATTTGTTCCGAGGCCTGTGGGTGCGTTGCCCGTCACGCGGGGACACTCGAACTGACTGGGGCGCAGGAGTACAGGGAGAGGTACGCGGGGAAATGTTCGAGGGGCGGACTGGGGAGGAGTCGTCTCAATCACTGCGAAAATCAAACCGTCAACCATCACTCGTCCCGGCACTCTTTATTTTCACATATTACTCGTATCGCTCGTAAGGAGAAAACCAACCTCAATACTATAATGTTCTTTCTACGAGTGATGCGAGTGATATGTGAAAAAAGGAATGATGGGACGAGTGGTACGAGTAATGCGTGAACGAATGAGGCGCGGGACGAGTCGGGCGCCAAAGCAGTAAGAAATGGTATGTCTACATGCATATGTATTTTATATTTATATATATATATGTATGTATGTGTATATATATATATATATTCTCATACATATATATATACACACACGTGTATACATATATACATATATATATATATATATATATATATATATATATATATATCATAATGGTCCCGCAGAAATCCTTGCCCGCAGAATCGCTCGGCCAACTTGCAATGGGCGGGGTGAATTTAAAAAATGAGACGGTAGAGGGAGACAAGTGCTGAGCGCCCCCCTCCCCCCCAAATTCAATGTTGGCGCGCGCGGGGGAGACTGCGGTCGAAGTGCATCTCATCAGACCCACCGCCAACTTTGAACATTTGGGGGGGGGGGCGTTGACGAATGGATGTGGCATGAGTGGTCGCTAATTTGTTCCGAAGCCTGTGGGTGCGTTGCCCGTCGCGCGGCGACGCTCGAACTGATCGGGGCGCAGGAGGTACGCGGGGAAATGTTCGAGGGGCGGACTGGGGAGGAGTCGTCTAAATCATTGCGAAAATCAAACCGTCAACC